TTGCGTTCTTTCCAGTAGTGCATCAGGCATTTTCTTAGGCAGTCCTGTTCTCGACATATAAATTATTTAAAATCAGTTGATTAGGTTTGGACATTTGGCGACTTACATGCAGCATTAAGTATGCAAAATTTTCAAAAATTGTCAAAAAGTTCCATGGAAGTTTCTTTTTAACGCTTATAGAGGAACGTTCGTTTTTTCCAGCGGTGCATCAGGAATTTTCCTAGGTAGCCTCGTTTTCCACAAAGCAATTTTTTTTAAATCGATTTGCTACTCTTTGACATTCGGCGACTTAAATTCAGCCGTAGGTGTAAAAAATCGCAAAAATCGCAAAAATGTGGCCGCGCGTTTCTTACCACTTATAGATAAAAGTACGTTCTTTCCTGCAATTTATCAGGAATGTTTCTATGGTGCTTCGTTCTCGACGAATAAATTATTGAAAATCAATTTATTAGCTTTGGACATTCGGCGATTTACATGCAACCCTAAGTATAAAACATCGAAAAAATTGTCAACAAGTGCCACTGCCGCGCGTTTTTCAATATTTATAGAGGAAATTGAGTTCTTTCCAATAGTGTATCAGACATTTTCTTAGGTAACCCTGTTCTCGACATATCAATTATTTAAAATCAGTTTACATGCAGGCGTAAATATAAAAAATTACCGAAAATTGTCAAAAAGTACCACTGCTATCCATTCTTTCACACTTAGAGAGGAAAATGCGTTCTTTCCAGTAGTGTATAAGGCATTTTCTTAGGTAGCCCCGTTCTCAAACAATAATTTATTGGAAATCAGTTTGCAAAGCTTAGGCATTCGGCGACTTGCCTATAACAGGACACGGTCAAAAGCATATCAATAATATATTCTCCTATTTCTCCTTCTCCGCGTACTAAAGGCGTAAAAACATTTCTTCGTCAAAAAAATTAAATCCTTGTATTGTTCTGTAAATTTTCATCAGAAGAGCAGTGAGTTTTTCAGAATTAATTCTAATTGTTAAGAGTACTACTACTGCATATATTTCCTGAGTTCATGCATCAGTTTCTTCCTTTGTTCTTTTATCCCAAAGTCGCTGTCGCATGGACTTTTTGCAGAGCTTTCAGGCCTATCTTCATCCAAAGGATTTTCCAAAATTTTTTTATTAACAACTTGAATTTGTTCTAGCTATAGCAACTGTTAGTATACTAATTAACACTTGAAATGCAGAGGCTTTTTTTAAATCTAAATTAAAAGAAACTTTATGTAGTAAATTTTGTCGAATTCCACAACAGCTTTATGCATATGCAAGAACCTATTGTGGATGATAGAACAAACCAAATTTACCATTTGGAGTGCACGAAAATCCGGCTCCAAGCAGGTAGATAGGCAATTCCCGGAACGAAAAATGCGAGTTGTAAATATGCAGTTATCTCTATGAATGATGCAAAGCTCTCGTTATTAAAATAAATAAATTCTGTGCAAATAAATTGAAAATTCTCTTGATCGAAATAATAAAAAAGCGACGAGTAGGTACATGCAATTCATATTCGCGTCTCTTCACTATGCCGATGTCCTGTCGTTTCTACATTAAATGCATATTTTAAAGTGAAATTGCTCTAATATATTCCGTGCATTTTTCCGAAAACAAAATAAATATTCCCCTTCAGCTCGAACGAAAATAGGAAAACATTTATGGTTTTAACGGGCGGCCCGCCGTCTTTTTATGACATCATTTGTATTATTTTTCGATTATAACCCATTTTTGTTAAAGGAAATTGAATATCATTAAAATACTCTCTGATTAACACTCTCCACTTTATAAAAACATATTTGTGTTTATAATTAATTTTATATTTATTATATTAATTTGAATAAATTTGTTGAGATTGAATTAATTGGATTTTTTTCATGCTCTGCTAGAGCAGAGAACTGTTGATATTCAGTTAGAATAAATGCAAAATATTTGCCATAATCGAAGACACTTTGTTAAAATAATATATAGAAGTTTAATTTACATGGATTGAAGCGTTTTTAAGCTACTGATTAGTTTTTTTTCCATCAATCCCTGAATAAATAAGTTTTTGTAACTTTAACTATGAAACACTCTGTATATTTGAATAAAATTTTGATGATCGCGCCATTCGATTGTTCTTCTATTCTCATCTCAGAAAATATAAAAAATCTGGTTTAAATAACTAAAAGAAGGCAAAGTCTTTTCTGCTCGTTTTAAAACCCGAAAAATTGGCTTTTGCACCTTTGCAACGCTTTATCTCCCTACTGGTGCACTTTTAAACTCTCTAGATGTGTCAACTTTAATTCAATTTTTCACTGTTTTGTGCTGTAAATTTTCAGCAATTTCCCTCACATCTCAACAGCATTTTATCCCTCCGAGGTGGCATTATTTTTAAAATAAACTGTTTCATCGCGATGAAAACGTAAAATAAATGACAAACTATTCCGCACGATGAAAAATTCTGCACCAGCAATATTATATGGAAATTGTGGGACTTACCGTCGCATTTCAAGCCTTGCCTGTACAATCCATAGAGTAAAGAGCCGCAATGATCGCAAAATGTTGGAGACATGTAGTTGTGCACTCTAAAGCGATGAGGAACGTCGATTTTAAACCGCTCACGCAGATACTAAGGAAAAAATCATCGGTAAATACTAAGCAGTTGGTTTCCTTTGGCGTGTTCTTCAACTTCAAACCGAATAAGATTTGCACACAAAAACACCAATTAACAAGTTATTGGGGAAAATCCCAAAAAAAACAATTTTGGACAAAAACTTTATTTTAACATCGCATAGAGCAAGAGAGGGGCATCTAGCGGCAGCAGGATTTTTACCAGCAATTGATTCAAAAGAAGCCTGTTCAATTGCGTTTTCTCCCAATCCAAACTGTTAAGAATTGGCGCAGAAAATGCTCTACTTTTCGTGCCAGTCCACTACCTGATTTAATTTTTGGCGAAAGCTGCAGACAAAAGCAGTTCTTGCCAAAAACGCTATTTTGCCATCTGAAATAGCATGAGGATGGCATCTAGCGGCCGCAGGAGCAAAAGAAGCCGGTTTAATCGAGCTTTCTCCTAATCCACACTGTTAAAAATTAGTAGGGAAAGACGCTGCTCTTCAGGCAAAAATCGGCTATTTTAATAGTAATTTTGTACTTACTATAGTGCTTTCAGAGTTGATTCCAGATCCAGAACATTTGCCCAGGAGCTTGTCGTGGCACTTTTTATGCACTGCTGTTTGACAGCCTAAAAACCGCAAAAAAATCACTTTTCACGTGCTTAAACCTTGAGTTTCGAGTTTTAGTACTCACTCTGACACTGGTAGCCTTGTTTGCCAAATCCCCACAAAAAATCCTTGCAAAAGGCACAGAAAGTGGGCTGTCGGAAGAATTTGGCCACAAACTTATGCCCCTTGACTGAATGCACTCTGCAAATGAACAAGAAAAATTTGCACTCGCCCTTGCAAGATTAAACCGCACTGCAGACCTTTCGAACTTTTTCAATTTACACACATGCTTATCCATTTCGCAGCAAATCGGCAGGAAAATGATCAAATACAAATTCATACGTACCCAATTTTTCAGGACCGAT